TGCAGTTCAAGTTCTAAGTCAATTCATGCAGCATCCAAAGCAATCACATTTAGATGATGCACTAAGAGTTGTGAGGTACATTAAAGGTTCACCGGGAATGGGGATATTATTGAAGAAAGGATCATTGAAAGATGTTACAGCCTAATTGATGCAGATTGGGCAGCTTGCCCAAACACAAGAAGGTCTGTAACTGGATATATGATAAAACTAGTAGACTTATTGATCTCCTGGAAATCCAAGAAACAACCAACTGTGAGCAGGAGTTCTGCTGAGGCAGAATATAGAAGCATGGCAGCAGTAACTTCAGAAATAGTATGGTTGGTAGGATTACTGAAGGAGCTGGGCTTAACTGTAAAGGAACCAGTAATACTACATTGTGACAACAAAGTAGCTATGCAAATAGCAGCTAATCAAGTTTATCATGGGAGAACAAAGCATATAGAGATTGACTGCCATTTTGTTAGAGAAAAAATTAAGGATGGTTTGATTACACCTCAGTACATTTCCACTAAAGAACAACTCGCAGATGTGATGACCAAAGGACTGGGAGCTGAGCAACACAGAACCTTGATATCCAAGCTGGGGGTGTTCAATTCCTTTCACCTTCCAGCTTGAGGTGGAGTGTGGAAATAAGAAGTTAGTTGCTAATTAGTTAGTAGTTGCTAATTAGTTAGTTTTACTAAAGTGTAATTAGAAAAACTAAGAGGTGTACAAGGGTGATAACCAACTTAGTCTATAAAAAGGACTAAGTCGGTTATCACTGGGCATAACAGAAAAATGAGCTACTGTTCTTCTCTTCTCTCTTCTTCTTCTCTCTGAATTCAATACTACATATCGAAGTTCATTGTGCATGCGTGAATATTTTGCATGTATTGTGTGCTTCTCCTCTCTAAAATTCTAATAAAAAATTTCTCTCTTAATATAATTGATACATATCAACAACTTTATATAAAAAGATAGTATTGATAACTTAAATACAAATTTTATATAATAATTCATACATTATACAACTATTTTTCAACTTTCATGCAACATTCAAATAAATAAAAAACTACAACATAATATAATCTACATATTATTATAATACAACTTTACTACAAATTCGTTAGTATATTGTATGTCATGTGTTCTTCTTCTTCTTCTTCTTCTTCTTCTTCTTCTTCTTCTTCTTCTTCTTCTTTGAGTTTCAATATGAAATTCAGCCAAAATCAAGTCTAATCTTCACCAAACACCCTCAAAATTGAGATATAAACTCCAAAGAATATTCCCAATTGTTTGCAACAACACCCAATCCAAACAAATAATGGTTTTTGAAAACCCAAATTCGAATTCAAAGATTCAAATTTTTTTAATGATTGTCAGTGGTGGAGAGACGCCTTCAAAATTTATTGATTGACAATTTCAATTTGAACACCAATTGTGCAACATGAAGGAAATTGCTAAGTTAAAACTCTATCGTAAAACGATTGAAATCCATTGATGAATTCCAATTAAATATATACAACATGAAAGGATAAAAAGTAAAAAATATTAAAGGAAGAAAAATTGGGAAAAGAACAGAGAATGAGAGAGAGAGAGAGAATGAGAGAGCGCATGAGAGAGAGAACATGGATGGGAAATAGCTGATTCCTTATTCAATTCCTAATATAAAGGGATACTCATTTAAAACTAATTTGTATATAATTGGTGAATTGTATATGGCCATGTAATTAAGCTAAAACTTGATTAGGGAGGGTAATAAAGTTTCATATGTAGTATAGGAATGTCCCCGTTAATTCTATGGGCTAAAAATAATTGGGTCTCTTTTATTTTATTTTTAATGAACAAATTTAACTCGCCAAAATTAACGGGAGACACAATTTAAAGATTGGTTTCAAAAAGGAGTTACTAAAATCTCCCTAAACTATCACAGTTTTGTCAGTTTCCTAGTTTCCTACTTAAACTATTTGGTATTTTCCAAACCCCATAAACTATATTGTCCTTCATATTAAAAACCCCTCGTTGTATTCTTAGAGGTGCGTCTAGTACACGCTCCTAATTATCTAAAAAATGTGCCATGTGACACTATACGTGGCTATTTAACCCAGACTAAAACCCCCCATAAACTATAACTTTTTTGTCAGTTACCTACTTAAATTATACAGTGCCCCCAAAACCCCCCTAAATTATATTCCCCTATATAATAAAATCATATGTTGAATTCTTAGAGGTGTGTCTGCCTAACAATATTAACTTATAGTTCGTACTAAATTTTTTAAGTATTTTACTCATGATGTATTACTCTCGGATGACTGATTAATTATAGGAGTTTAATTTGGCCAAAATAGGATCTAATCTAATGGATTAACTTTAGGTTTAACTGTGTGTGTGCGCTTTATACTAGACTCCAACTAAATAATTATTTATTTACATTCACTTTGCAGCACAATAAAAAAATAAATAAAAGGCATATCGTGTTGCATTTATGAAAAAATCACCGTATATTATATAAACAAGATTACACAAAATAAAATTTTACAAATAAGAAATAAATCGGCCAACAACCACATTCTCTAATTCTATATTACACAAGCAATGTTTAAGAGATTCAACTTTATTCTCTACAATAAGGTGTTGGTTTAATAAGAAGATTTAAATGAGTGTTATTTCAACAAATTATAAAAGACTAAAAAAGAAAGAAAATAAATTATTTCCGAGGAAACAAGAGAGGGAGAAATTTTTCCAGAGGAAACCCATATGGAGAGCCGAAGAAAAAAGGTGATAAAATAAAAAAGAAAGATGAAAAATAAGGAAGAATGGTGGATATAAAGAAAATAAGGAGAATATTTAAAACAAAAACAAAGTTGAAAGAGGGTTAGACTAATTAGCCATTACATCCTGTCAGGTGGGCCATTTTGATAGCCTTTTCAGCCGCAACGCTCTCTCAAGCGATTGTGTACACACGTTATGCCAGGTAAGTAACGAAGGAGTTTAAATATGAAGGGTAATATAATTTAAGGGGTTTTGGTGATACCGAATAATTTAAGTAGAAAACTAATAAAAACGTGATAGTTTAAGAGGATTTTAGGGTATTAGCTCTTTGAAAAAAGAAAAGGACCATTTGTCCCCGGCTCAATCAACGATTCATGTACGACGTTATATGTAGTCGTTGCCTTGTTTCGTGTGTCGAGAAATTTCTCTTGATTTTCTTGCCCTTTTCCTTTTGGCTTCCTCATCATTTTGCAAGGTCCATGGACCATTTTGACCAGAGGAAAAGACCCTAATGATCCTTTATGTATAAGGGTAGGACTATATTTGTCCTTTATATATTCCAGTGGACACAAAAGGTCGTCCATGTTTAACAAAAGTAGATTTGTTTAGTTTTCGAAGACGGAAGGCGTCAAAGTTAACCGAACGATTCTTATGCCTCAAAGTGCATAGCGTTCCCAAATCTGGAAAATACCAATTCGGGTTCTTTGACTCCAAGTAACGCCTGAATTAGATGAAGAGAGGTAGTTAAAAGAAATTAGGTTAATAGCTACACAAAGCCCAATTCCAAGTTGAAGATATAACTAAAGACACCATTGAAGTATGGCAATGGAAAACAGTGCATCACTTTCAAGGAAGACTAAAGGAATCACTTATCCAGAAGAAAAACAAAAAAAGAAAGATTTTAAGGGATTGTTAAAGATTCCAGATTTGAATTGTAAGGCTAGAAGATGCCAATCTTGATCAGAAAGCCCCTAATTCTTGGAATTAAATTTGATATGGGTTTCTGTTATTATACTTGAAATTCGATGTTCTTGAGGTTTTTGTTGATTTACATGTCCGATTGGAAGTGTGTTTTGGTTTGGTTTGGAATTATATCCTTCAAAATCCAAATGCTTGAAGGGTCCCTTTTAATATAAGCTTTTGTTTAACTATGGGGTTGCGATGTTTTTGTTTTTTATTTTTGCTTGAAAATTTTGTAGGAGTGCAATCGGTATTGGGACCAAGAAATAAAAGCAATAAGGAGTGCAATGAATTTTGTTTGGAAATTTTGTAGGAGCCTGAAGCTGCAATTATTCAATTCTATTTGTGTTATTTTTCTTTTGTTCTTTCCGTTAAAATTCTTAACTTTTCTGTTATTTCTTAGGCTTCAAACCAAATGTGTCTACTTTGTTAAACATAGAGGACCTTTTGTGTTCACAAGAATACATAAAGGACAAAGATAGTCGTACCCTTATACAAAAGGGACTATTGGGGTCTTTTCCTCATTTTGACTATAGCGTGAAATTCTAATTGAACTTTTTTATTTTTGGTAATGCGGGAAAAATATATTACTATAAAATTAGACACAGTCAATACAGATAATAGATGTGCCATATATAGCACTGAAGTTTTCAAGACTAGCCAAAGTATTACATATAAACTAGCCGAAATATTTCCAGCAAATTTGTTCCTCCCTTGTCCACCAAAAAGTATAAATAGTTATTCTAAAAAATGTATTAACTCCGCGGAGTCTGCTTCGAATTCTAATTGAATTCATATGAACACAATTAGTAAACTGATGTACTTCAAATTTCTTAAAGAACATAAAGCTATTGCTACTATAGGTTGCATTTGCTTCTATACTTTGAAGAAGATTTTTTTTTTTCCCAATTTTCTTTTTAAAATTTTTTGCAAAATTTTTTTTTCAACTAGACACTAAATCTTTTTGCAAAGCCAACAAAAGACTTTTTTCCGTTTAGATGGCTCTTTTCAGGCCAAATGTGAATGCTTTGACTTATGTGCGTTAAAATAAGCAAACATCATAGGATGCTTAAGGGAGTACAAATTGAAAGCTATATTCGTGCTGACATCCACCGTCCGACCGAATTTCTCGTGTTTCCATACATTTTTTTGTTTAAAATTAATAAAGTAACAATGGTTTCTTTTTTCTTTTCTTTTCTTTTTTAAAGGAAAAATTCAACGGTCAATTTATAGGCAAACGAAGGGAAGTTTCTGTGATTGAGATATCATCCTCTTTCCGTAATACTTTTAAACGGGATTAACTTTCGGCAAAGCTCGTCACTTGTGAACCAAAAATATAAATAGGGGGTCCTGTTTAGCCAATTCTTAAGTAGGAGTAATTGTTTTACATGTTTAAACCAGAGATAAATTTTCAAGTTCCTCTGGTTCCCATTGTTGGGGATGATTTCTGCTTCCCTTACCTTGTGAACCTAAATGTGAAGAAGAAAATTCTTGGAATTTCACATATAAATATCGATGTATTGGATGATATTGGGATTTCTCTTCTTCAAGGTAATGGAAAAGTTTGGCATCTCAGAAAGAAGAAAAGGATCATTTGTGATCCAGCTGGTTTACCCATCCTTACTCTGCGCGAAAAGGTACAACGCCTTGTATACTAATTTTATTTTCATTTGTATTATTTTTTCTATATGAGTAAATATGGGAGGGGTGTCTATTTCACAATATTAGCGTCCAGGCTAACTACGCGCGCATGACTATTTTAAATCCTTTAGTGTTTCATTCTGTTCATCCACGATTTGGTTTGGTCACAACTTGGAGTGAGGAGGGAGGGAGCGGGGTGTACTACTGATTTGTGAACATGATTTAGCATCAAAGTAAAGTAACTCAAGGAATGAATATTATATATGAAGTGAAAGTTCTTGAATATTTGACAGTCACTTTCATGGCATAATACTTGGAAAGTTTATCGTGCCGGGAGTTCAGATAGGAATGATCTGCTCTACACAGTTAAAAGATCAAGCCCAATTCAAATGAAAATGCAACTTGATGTGTTCTTGGCCAGCAATGTAAGTGGAGAGATGTGTGATTTCCATGTAAAGGGAGCTTACACCAATCAGTCTTTCGAAGTTTACAAAGGGGACACTTTAATTGCTGAGGTACTTCACTACAATTATTATTTTGCTTCCTTTATCAGTTAGTGATTTTCTTTGGTTTGTGCGTGCGTCAATTCTTATAGTAACTCTCGTTTAAATTTGCTTCAATATGCAGGTTAAAGAAAGATTCAAACTTGGAAGCTTCTTCAAAGGAAGAGAAAATTTTGAACTAAGAGTATATCCTGGTATTGATTATGCTTTTATTGTCTCAATATTAATAATATATAATGAAATATACGGGGAATCATAGGAGTTTATGTCCCTAGCTAGACTCAGCAATCATATAATGCTCCCTTTCTCTTAATGTACATATGTGTCAAAAAGACCCACTAGAATTTAGCCTTTTTTTATGTCTATAAATATATACATCAGTTTGATTGACGTGAAAGTGTATCCAGTTGTAAGTTTCTTCTTTCTTCCTGATCATTTCTTGCATAAATTAGACTAGCTACTCATTTTCATCTTGAACTTCTCTTTCTTGGTAGAGTTAACAAGTAATGTAAATATGTTGTATCAAAAATCTTAGAATTTGGCTACTTTTTGTATTCACAACAATGGAAACTAGCTAATATTGCACAATAATACACAGCAGAAAATTTACAATAGTGACAATTAATATAATATAAAAAGTCAAATCGAGAAGATAAAACATTTATGAACTATTTCCAATCAGATAGTAGATGTTGGCAGCAATAGCAATAATGCTCGTCACAACAGCTACAACAATCATGACCACTGCGATTATCTTGTCTTTCCTTGAAGATAAACCATGGACATCTCTGCAAAAAAACGAAATTAAGATGTTCACCATAGAAAAAGAATAATTCAGGTTTCTTAAAGAGTAAAAGTTGAGGGAAATAAAAGAAATACCTTAGAGCAATTGCACCTGGGAATATGAAGGCAAGGCAAGCATTTGAAGTTGATCCCATGAACTGGTAAATGTACCATATCGATGGTATAGCAATGGCTACTACATATGACAAGGCTAACAAGATCAACGTAATGTACATGAATCGTTTCGTGTCAGTTGCCAAATGCTCTTTCTTAGGGAATATAAGTTCATCGATATTTGCCCTCAGGGAGAAGTTTAATAGAGGAAACACCAGCATTAGGTGAAGCGCATAGCTCAAGCGAACCACATCATTTAGAATAGGACTGATTGCAACACTGCCAGAGGACTTACCAAAATTTACAAGTATATCTACATTTATTGAATCTCCAAATAAAAGGTATCCAAAAATACCAATTGAAAAATATATGGCTGCACAAATTACTAGTGAAATTTTGACAGCAGTGGTCATAGCTCCAGGTTTCCCCAGCTCAATTCCAATAGGATGAACTGCATTCAAGTTTTTATGTTTGTAATTTAACATCAAGAGTATGATCAAGTATCTAACTAATGTAGTAGCTCTTACCATTGAAGTGAAATGCAAAAGCTGTTACAATGACTGGGATGGCGGTGAAAAGATTAAAGAAGGAACTAGTACTATTCAACTCCGGTAGCATTCTTGGCCTTACTATTTTCCCTTTTGCGATTGCAATGACTGCCATTACAGTACATATACCCACAAATACAATTGCTAGGAAAATCGCTACTGCTGAACTAAACCATAATGATTCTGCAATCACAAGCCATAAAAAGCAAACTACTAGTAAAATGTTTAAATACTAAGTCAAGCAAAATCTCATAGAAATTCAACAACAGAGGACAGGATGTACTAACCTACACGACGGTATAGGACTAGAGGAAGCACAACAAACAAGACAGTGTATAGGATCGATAGATAGCGAGAATTCCACCAGTGAATCCCAAACCATTCTTGAAGAATACCAAGATGTTCTCCTTTTCCAGAAAAGACGTCTCCTGATCATATAAATTACAACAAAAAAGAACTAATAGAATCAATCATTATTCAAGTTTACAGCATATCTACTGTCGTCTACTTTGCAATGAGAAGCATTAACAAGAAAATTAAACTATGACTTGCTCAGTTCTCAAGTCTGGACATAGCAAATGAGAAGCATTAACAAGAAATTTAAAGAATTAAACTTACCAATAATAATAAGGTACATGATCAAGCAACCAAGAGTGGTGATCATTACACAAATTTGTACTGCCAAAGAACCTATCTTTCCAAAATTCTCTTTCATCAATCCGGCATATGTCGTCGACTGACCAGCATACGTGGATCTCAACATGAAATTTACCGTTATGTCTACTAATATAGCAACCAGAACAATCAACAAGAATGCAGGAATAACACCTAAGACCTTCAGAGTTGCTGGAATTGACATAATTCCAGCACCAATAATAGTTGTTGACACGTTGAACACCGCCCTCCAAATCATCCATCGGTTGTTCTCCCTCGTCGGAGAGTTTTGTTGCGATAGCAGTGGGACGTCGGCGCTGGTACCAGCCCTGGCCGGATCCATCCCGGAGATAAAATATTGGTAGACGGAATATGCAATCAAAGAGAAGTGTTAAATGCCTCGTGAGACTTCACTTATGATGATTTGCTGTTAAAACAATTAACAAATAATGGGATTTCACTAATAAGCTAGTCTATGGCCGGAGGAAATGGTGAGTAGAATAGTTTACACATATGAGAATTGGACAGGGAGGCGGCAAAAGTGACAGTTGAGAGGTATTCAAATGTTACAAGGAAACTAACAAGGGACAAATGGCCTCACTAACAACAATTAGCTTTGTGGCTCATGACAACTTATATGAGATTGATAGCCTTTGAGGCCAAAGCCGAAAAAATCAGCTTATTTTGAAAGTATTTTTTTCAAAAATATTTTTTGAAAAAGTGCTTTTAGAGAAAATCAATTTGTGTTTGGCTAATCACTCTGAAAAGCTCTTTTGAGCAATAATTTGTGTTTGACCAGACATTTTAAAAATGTATTTTTAAGTATCAAATTTCGAATAAAGATATGAATAGATTTACTTAACAGTTAATATTATAAGTATATAAATAATCTCAAAATTTTTTTATTAAACATAATAATTAAATCTTTTCATTTTATTTAAGTAAAATATGAAAATAAAATTAAAAAGTACTTAATTCTTTTAATAGGATTTAAATATATAAAAAATCATGCAACAAAAATTAAGAGCATTCACCCCTAAAGTCATTATATATGAGAAAGCTATTCTAAAAATAAGAAGAAATACTTATATATTAATATCCTAAGTATTATGTATAAAATAAGTTAGGTTATTTTGGTATATACTATATTTTGTTAAGGGTATTATTAATAAGAAGAAAAGTCAAAACTGCTTTTGCTTCCACTTTTGGGAAGATGCTATTTTTTTCTGCTTCTCATAAATTGCTTCTGTTTCTTTCCAAAAGTACTTTTTCTCCCGAAAGCTTGGCCAAACACCTTAAGTTGAGGAAAAAAGTAATTTGAGAAAAAATACTTTTGACCTTTGGAGAAGCTTGGTCAAACAGGCTCTATGAATAAATTTGATGGTGTGGACAACTTTTGAAGATTAATTTAGGCCAATAATCAACAAACAACATGATCCATATGATGTAACAGCAGTCGCTATCACATGTATATTCAATCCATTTGGTTCATGAAGCTACAAGAATTGGCCATTGTTATGCTCCACCTTTTTATTTTATTATATGCTTCAGGGATTTCCTTTTTAGCTTTTCAGATCTCTTCGAATCAAAAGAAAGTCTGGAACTAGGTATGGTGGAGAACAAAGAGCATGATTTGGTTTGACATGGATTGCTATTACTGAAATTTGAACTTCAATATCGTTGTCGTGGAGGGAGACAATTGGATATTTTTGTGATAAAGATTGAAAACAGTAACGAGGGATTGGTCCCATTAGTTAAAGAGAAAGTCATTCGTGTATCAAATTCGTTTTCACTGGGACAGCTCATAAGCATTTTTATTCGCGAATTATCTAATACGTACTAGCTGGATGGCCTGTTTTGACGTGACCAAGGAGCAGATTTTAATTTCCGTACGTATCAGCTTTGCTTAAAATCTTGACTTACATAATACATACATACATACATGATACATAGAGAGAGGATGACATTATTAGGGATAATTCATAATCAACTCTTTGGGATTGTCTCGCTTTACCAATTATATTTCCTTACTTTGCGGGGTTTCCTATGAGATTAATATCACCTTTTGAGTTTGTTTGACTCCAAAGATATAAAAACTTTTTTGAACAAATCAATTAAAGATGAAGGGGTAAATCCTAGTTAAGGATAATTAACTCTAGATCCGAGATGAATAATACGAATAAAAAAAAACATAGCCGAATATCAATGTTGATGGCGATTATGACCAGATTTAATAGCATAGAGAAAGATGCATCAAGTAACAAGAATATGAATAAAGGAAAAGATTTACCCGATCTTCAGTGAGACGGATCTTCTTTCTTTTAATAAAGACGAATGATAGACAAATACAAGAACCTTATGACCCTTTTTGGATCTGATGAAGGTATGGGATCACTGATCCTCTCATTTCTTTGGAGAGGTGTGTTTACATATTTTCTAGAAAGATGGAGAGGGAGAGAGAGCCAGAGCCCCCATTTTGGGAAGTCCTCTCTTCCTATTAATAAGGGGTTTTCCTAAAAAAAAAACCTAAAAGAAAAGGTACAATTAGAGGGAATATTCAGTAGAATATTCCTTTTGAGGATTCCAAAGCAGACTAGTTGTTTCATCACTGCCCGACCTCGGCTTGTCCGACCACGGCCTGTCCGACCTCGGCCTTATTGATGACGGTCCGACCTCGGCCTTATGTCTCCGCGTGCCGAATTTCTCTGATCTAATTTTGACGCATACAGTTAGTCCCTCCGCTTATCGAGGTCGTCTCTTGGTTGAGCTCGGTGAGCGGACTTCATTAATCGTAGTTCGAGAAATCCGGATGGGGAGGTTGACATGGCAGAGGCAATGCTTATGAGTCCTCCTAGGATGAAGACGACGCCTTATGATGAGTTGCCTGAATATTCTGATCCATTTCCAAAGGGTTCATAAAAAGACCAAGACCCCAAGTTTCCAATGCTCATCATACGATTTGAAAGCTTGTTGCATCAAATCAAGATATATATCATTAATGGGTTTACAAGTACTGAAAATATTTAGGCCACTATAATTAACTGCTCAACTTATTTGTTTCTCCACGTATTTCACCATTAATGGTGGTGGTGAATCAGATCCAGGTTTCATAGATGCAAGTTCTTGCAATATTTCTGCAACATCAGTTGGCTGAGTGACTGGATCAGTAATTAGTTTTGCTTCCAAGATTCTAGAACATACGTCCAGAGCAGAAACAGCATGAAAAAAGTACATTTCGGTATTTGGTATGGCAATAACACCTTGAACTACTCAAGACATGAGAATGTCATGAATGACAACAACTCTCTTGACTTTATCTGCTGCAGACAAATTCTTAACAAGATCTGCCACTGGTTTGTCGAAACTCCATAGCAGCGTAGAAAGAGGGTATTAAATTTGATGGGTAAAAGCCGTTGCTATCAGGAGGAATGTTGTCGAGAATAGCGTGACCACTAAAATTATATAGGTGCGTTGGGTCATGGACTCAAATTGTAGGTGAGACTAGAACATGTCTCACTCTCATTTTCTTGTATTCCTAATATAATTCGGATGCTAGCAGTTATTATCGTTTCATTTTCACGTTGCCCTATTCAATTCGAACGAGGCCTAGTTGTGAATCAAGTTCGAGCTAGTCGAATGAGAGTTAAATTCGAGTGAAGTCGAATTATTCATTTTGGCGATGGCCTTTGGCCGTAGGGGTGTTATTTCGGGCAAAGGCCGGAATGTTAACCCGTTGTGATCCGAACAAGGTCGAATTCTTCTTTTTAGCAATGGCCCTTGGCCGTAGGGGTGTTATTTCGAGCTAAGGCCGAAACGTTAACCCGTTGTAATTCGAGCGAGGTCGAATTCTTCTTTTTGGCTATGGCCCTTGGCCGTAAGGGTGTTATTTCGAGCTAAGGCTGAAATGTTAACCCGTCGTCATTCGATCAAGGTCGAACACTTCTTCTTCTTTGGCGAAGGCCCTTGGCCTTAAAGGGTGTTATTTCGAGCTAAGGCCGAAATGTTAACTCGTTATAATTCGAGCGAGGTCGAACCTTTCTCTTTGGCGAAGGCCCTTGGCCTTAAAAGGTGCTATTTCGAACTTATCAAAATGTTAACCCGTCGTCGTTCGATCAAGGTCGAACTCTTCTTCTTCTTTGGCGAAGACCCTTGGCCTTAAAGGGTGTTATTTCGAAATTATCGAAATGTTAACCCGTTGTAATTCGAGCGAGGTCGAATTCTTCTTTTTGGCGATGGCCCTTGGCCGTAGGGGGTGTTATTTCGAACTTATCAAAATGTTAACCCGTCGTCGTTCGATCAAGGTCGAACTCTTCTTCTTTGGTGAAGGCTCTTGGCCTTAAAGGGTGTTATTTCGAACTTATCGAAATGTTAACCCGTTGTAATTCGAGCGAGGTCGAATTCTTCTTTTTGGCGATCGCCCTTGGCCGTAGGGGTGTTATTTCGAACTTGTCGAAATGTTAACCCGTCGTTGTTCTATCAAGGTCGAACTCTTCTTTTTTGGCGACGGCTCTTGGCCGTAAGGTGTTATTTCGAACTTATCGAAATGTTAACCCGTTGTAATTCGAGCGAGGTCGAATTCTTCTTTCTGGCGATGGCCCTTGGCCGTAGGGGTGTTATTTCGAACTTGTCGAAATGTTAACCCGTCGTCGTTCGATCAAGGTCGAACTCTTCTCTTTTGGCGACGACCCTTGGCCTTAAAGTGTCCCCTGGGGGAGTCCCAATTTGCTTAATTTTGCTTGCATTGGAGAATATAATGCGTTTCCTGGGGGAGTCCCAGTTTGCTTAATTTTGCTTGCATTGGAGAATATAATGCGTTTCCTGGGGGAGTCCCAGTTTGCTTAATTTTTCTTGTGCTGGGGAACATGATGCATTTCCTAGGGGAGTCCCAGCTTGTTTAATTTTTCTTGCATTGGACAATATGATGCATTTCCCGTTCGTGTATCTGGGAGAATGCTCCTGCTTCTATTCCATTTAGAAAAATAGTCAGTTAAACCAAATGAAATCATTTGTTACCTTGATTTGATCGGTCGGCGAGTAGAGAGGAGTGGCCATGTTCACTCCTCTGGTTATGCTTTTAGTGGCCGCTACCAGCTTGGCAAGGCCGTCTGCTTCGATATCCTGTGCTCGAGAGATTTGATCGAGCTGGTATTCGCCGAACTCGGATAACGGCTTGCGAATCTCGGCGTGGTATTTTTGCAGTATTTGTTTCTTGATTTGGAAAGTCTCTGTGACTTGATTGACAACGAACACTCCAAAATATATCCATGTTTGATTGTTTCAAAGTTGTAGAGTGGCCGCAGAACCAAACACAACACAATCTGATGAGAAAGCCGCCAATCTTGGTGCCTTTTTAATAAACTTTTACCCGAAGAGGAAGAAGCAACTTTAGGTGTGAAATGGTGTTCATGTCGGCCACTTCTCTCAAATATGAATAAGGGATAGAGACTGTGGCTTTTGTTGAATAATATTGGCCCTACTGCATTTCTTGGAGTTTTTAAAGGATAAGAAATTCTGGGTTTGACATTGTAAGCATTGATCTTTGTGGATGTTTATGTTGAAATCCAAATTGGCGGTGAAATGGCTCCAGCCATCTTCCGAAAGTGTTAGTATAATTT